ACACACACACACACACACACACCACACATACAACAGTCCAATTTACAACAACAATTATTACGAATAGTTACCACAAGCAAAGATTTATAAACAACAATTTCACTAATTTACAAACAACGCAAATTTATTTTTTTTTTAGTTTCAGAGTCTCCTTGATATGCAGCAAGTTAACTTGAAGTCGATGTACGTATAATTGCCGAGAAGCTAGCTAGCTTTGTCAGACACTGAATTGTTGGACCTTTGGAGTAAGATAATATTTTCATAAAACCACTAATGTCCGATGAGAATTCAGTAATACTTTCGGAAAGATACTAACGTCCGATGAGAATTTTTATGTCTATTTCATATTAACATACAAAGTTCAATCGTTTTTCATGCAAACGTCACAAACCCACGTGTAATTTACCATGCAAGTACATACTCCTAAATTAAAAGAACCTGATGATAATGCACATATCGCCAGGAAAACTTGAGAGCGAACTCTAGTGTTTAGTTGCTTTTCAAGAACTTGAATGTAGGCGTGAGTTTTATATGGAAATATGTTTAATTCCTAGTTCGTAGTAGTCTCTTTCTTAAACTTTCACAATGGTGAATGAAATGCATGCATGCATTGAGCTAATTGCTTATTAACATACACAGTTTGGATATATATACGACAAACACAATGTAAAACATTTAACTTTGTAATCCTTAAAATACTCGTTAAAGGAAGAAATAGAATTTGACAAATTTCGATAAAACAAAAAACGAGGTTTAAATCCCAATTGCATCATAACTCCAATCTAATTGTTAACGATACTGGTGCTGTAATGTCTCCAAATAAATAATACTAAAAACAACAAAAGAGAAAAAAAATATAGTTTATTCGTCATGAAGTTAACTTCAAATTTGCAACAAAGTATAAAATATGATTTAAACGCCGAAACCTGTCGAAATGATAGAAACCAATAGGACCAAAAGTGGTTTTAAAACTAATTAATTGCAGGTGGTTTTATTTACACATTCCTATTTATTTTTTCATTGCGGCTCGAAATAAGGTGTGTGCAAAAATAACATTTAAAATATAATTTGAAAAAAATTTGTTTTTTTTATAATAACTCGTAGGCCTATTAGTTTTCTAATATGATGCCAGCTTTCAGCGTTTAACCCATAGCTTTTAAAGTAATATACTGCATTATATATTTATATATAAACAGCGTTTCATTGAATCTTTTGTGTCTCCATTTGCCCAGCACAAATAATGTGTTTTGATATTGAACAAATAGCTTATTGTGAATAGACTTGTGGTAACACGTCAAGAGTTTCTAGAAGGATCATGGCTGTTCCTAGCAACTCTAGTGTTTGCCAGACGCCCTCTATTTTTGTATATAAGCCCAGCAAATAAAGCGGAGACATAATTGCAGATAGACAGATATAGAGACAGATAATTGAGTCAAGTGAGCGGTAGTGACCGTAAGTAAAGTGCGTGAATCGTTGTGAATTATAGCGCGTGTTAAAGTTAAAATGACTGTGGAAATTCTGTGTATTGCAAAGTTGTATTGAGAAAGAATAAACTAGTTTTATTTAAGAAAGGAATTGTATCGCTGAAGTTCCTCGGGAGGAATTTTTACGGGAAATTAACAAACGACCAGAGACGTAACATATTGTTTTTTACGCACCTCTGATATAGAGCCGCACTGGAGAGATTGAGACGAATGTGAGAGTAACAGCATTTGGATAATTTGTTTTATAACAAAGTACAAAATACTGAAAAGAACGAAGTCGATTTGAAGTTTGTAATAAACTAAAGGTTTCTCATACGACGAACATTTGTTTTGGCTTTGCAACTTGCATGGTATTTTGTGCGTCACGTGGGCTAAACGGTCAGGTCAGCCCTAATTTATAACTGCTGACGAGAGTAATACCCACCATCTTCGTGAATACCTCTCAATTGAAAGGTAGGATTGACTGTGGTGGCTATAACGTCCCCAAAGCTAAAAGTCCATCCCATGTTTAATAGCATATTTAAGACTGAACTTTCGATCTTCAGTACGCTGTCCGGCACGCTAACTACTCGGCTACGATAATGAAGCTGATTTTAAGTTTGTAACAAAGAAAATTATACTGAAATGCTCAATTAAGTAAGATATGGAACCTATCAACCTTAGATGTATGTAACTAATAGAATATATATATATATATTTGCAGCAAAACTGAAATCCGTTTTTTTTTGTCCGGTCATGTTACACATATTGAAGATTTTAAACATTTATTAACTAAACTCAGTATCGTCCAGATTTCTGTCGTGACAGAATACCAATGAATCTGGCTGTGATTTACTTAACACCATATATAAATTTCAAACACTGTAGCCATTACAGAGACAATAGTGCAACCCACTAAATTTGATACTGAGTGAGCAGTATCAGTTTGGTAGGTTGCTTAACAGAAAAGCCACCCCCCCCCCCTCCAAGACCTATATGCTCAAACTAATAACAATAACATTTTTTAATTGAAGACAATAAAATTATATTGTAGTCTAATCAAAGAAAAACACCAGTTAATTACTGATGCTTTAACTGAAAAAAAAAAAGGGCATACAAGGGAAGGCCTAGAAGGAGGTAAGACAGTGGCACGGAAGCATGGGAACGGCCCTCCATTTTTCAAGCTGTCCCAGTAAAAATGCATCAAAATTAGGAATATTACTCCCAAGAAAAGCAGAAAAAATGTATGAAATTTAATCCAGAGTCCTAAGGCGAACTCTGGACCCCGGCTGTAATGGGTGCGCTTCTGGCGCACATTCCATTGCTTCGTTCAGTCAAATAAACCTTGTCGTCTCAACACACGTTTTTAATTTGGTTCCTACACATATACAAGAAAAATATTTACCATTTGTTTAAGAGATAAGTACTATGCTCAATGATAATTGCAAATAAGACAGAATTCTTCCTAATAAATACACGAAAAGCTAATTTGGAAGTTATTTTTGTGGAAATATTTTATCATTCAAGAAGCGCTTAAGTAGACGTTATTGAATATAGTTAAGCCTAATAAAGATGTACAAACATCTTATTAATCTGGGCAATTCCTCTAGAAATTAATTCTAACAACACCCAGAACTTGTATATAAAGTAATATTTTAAAAAATAAATGCAAATATTAATTCTGAATGATCATTTCTCCTGTTTCTTCCACCTAGGATAGTAGCTATATCAGTTGGGATTACGGCCGAAAATGTCGCTAACGGCGAGGGTAGCCAACTACATGATGAATCAATGCATTCTAATCATTATAAGTAAAAACATAAGAAGAGTATGTTACATTATTTATATCCATTACTGGTTGATTTTTAGTTTTGAAATTTGCAGCTAGCTTCCTTTAATAAGAACTAATATTAATTAAAATAAAGAACTCAACAATAATGTAAAGCTTGTAGATTATAAAAAGTATTATCGTGTTCATTTCCTAAAAACTCACGTTTCGACAGAGTACATAGTTCGTTATAATGTGCTTCTTTAAAAATCATTTGATTATTTTATCATTAACATCAGATGAAAACAAACTTATTAGAGATCAGAACTAAAAACCAACAGAATAAAAAATTAACTTACTGGTTTATGTAAGAGTGTGCAACACCATAAAGCAAAAGTTTCTAAAGATAAGAATGTTTCATCATTTGGATACACTTGCTGTTAATATATTTTCGGTCTCACAAAGTTCGGCCAGCTTACGAAATTTGCTGTGGATTTTTACGTTAATTATTGTACTGATCTACTGAGTGTAAAATCAGCTCCAACAACAATCTAAGTACATTGCACAAAACAATAAGATAATTTGAATATTACAGCTTTGACTAGGATTATGATTATTGTAAGAATGACTAGAAAAGGCCTCTGCTATAAAATAGTGTCACCTTCCAGATCAATTTATTTTATTAAAATTTCAAAATCAGGAATTGGTTAGTCGTTTGATTGAAATGCAAACAACTGACCATCGAACCCATTATATACATGTCCTGCAACATTGTGTTATTAACAGGAGTGACAGTTTAGCGATTTCCCACCTTCTGTATCTCGGACTGTAGTAATCTTAACTATCATATATTTTCAGTGGATGTGCTATACTAAACTGTTACTTCGCATACCAAATTTCACGGCAATCCATTAAGAAATACACGATATATAACAACTCACATTTAGATTGAGTTTCTTTCTAATTTTTTTCCCCATTACACCAAAAGTACAGAAACTTTAGTTGAATGAAAAACATTTAACTTTTATGGATCCTTTCAAAGTTTGTACATTGATATATCTTTACAACCTACAATTAGGAGTCTCATTTGGTGTAAATATAAGCCACGTATGCAAAGGTATTCAACAAAAATCGCTCAAATTTGACGAAAAATATTGCGCACGCTTACGCAAAAAGTCACGGGAGCTACCGGTCTAATATTTTTACTACAACTTCATCTAAGAGTAAAAGTGAACCATTTTTAGTATTTAGTCATTCGGATCAAAGAGGGCTGACTTAGAGCAGCAAAACTAATGTGAAAGGACGTGCAGATACACAAGTATTGGTTAGGCTTAGCAAACTAAATTAAACAGTTTCAAGCCCAAGTTTTCAAAATAACGGTTATTATTGCTTATTCATTGTCTGACTTTTTAGCACAAATTTACTAAATTTTATGAAATTCTCCTAATTAAAAAGCATTTAGCGTCACGTGGTATTAACTTAAGGAATTAGTGTAAATAATGATGCTTGACACGGCTGCATTCAGTGCATGCGAGTGATGACAATAAACTGCTAATCTAGTGTCAATTGTAATTCAAATTCGAT